ATTTTTTTACCTAACCTCAGGCTGCCTTGAGAAACGGGGTGAAAGAAGTATATGGACTGAAGAAGAGGGTTGTAGCGGTATCCAACGTGAGACAGCTCACAAAACTCGACATGAAGCTGAATGATGCGCTTCCAAACATCACCGTGGACCCTGAGACATATGTTGTCACGGCAGACGGTGAGGTACTTGCGTGTGCTCCAGCCACTTCAGTCCCTCTCTCCCGGAACTATTTCTTATTTTAGGGTTGTTGAAAATCTCAGTTGCTTTGTGGGTTATAGGCATTGCTAACTAAATTGAGAAACACCTAAAGCACTATAGAAAAGCAGGCACATGGGTGATGGATTTGTAATAAAAATAGCTTCTGTGAACAACTTTTTTCCTAAAAATGGTGAGAGAAGCAAAGATAAACGTGGAGAGCAATTTTTGGATTAAATTGAAACAGCTTTTTTTTAAAGAAGAGATCAATGCAATTAGAGTCTCTTTTTTAGTCTTTGAGTTTTTGAGGAATAAGTTAAATGGATATTAGCATTACAATTTACAACTATTTATAATTAGCGAACATCCAAAATGTTTGGAAAACTATTTTATAAAAACCTTATTACTAAAGTGGTTGCTACTGAAACTACTTTCTGTGTACGGTATTAAATATAACCATTGTTCAAATCTTTGCTTGTAATTACTTGGTGGATTTTTGGACTGCATTTACAATTTTTAATTCATTGATAAAATTGTGTTGAAGATGGATTTCGTTCCCAGCATAAGATCCATTTTATACTAAGATCCGTTCAAATTTAAAATAGCCTTAAAAAAAGATTTTACTAATTTCAAAATAAGAAGAGACAATTTTACCGACCTGAACTTATGTAAATAAAGGATTATATCGGTAAGAAAAAGCATATCATAGTAATCATACCAATATAAAAGAAGAGACATATCTCACGAGCCACTTTGCAATGGGACATCATATCATTTGTGGTTCCAGTAGCTTTGCCACATTAGTGGCATGTGGAATCAGTCAAAAGGTTCTATATGAATTGTGGTGAAAGATATGATCAAGGATTCGTATTGGTAGATGGGATCCATTATTGAACAATAAAGTGGTGTCTCTTTCTTTGCTTTTTAATGGCATGGAGCCATTAAGTGGACTTCCCTGGTTCTTGTGTGGCCTTGTGGGGGTAATAACACTTATATCATTACATCAGCAGCAGAGAAAACTGATATGGTTATCTTCTTCTCCCCTGTTAAATGGTGGGTGCCAACAGGAGCGGATCTAGAAATTTATTTAGTGTGTTATAATTAATATAATGATTCATTAGAAATATAATAGTCATATTTTTTGGGAGAACAAAATACAGTACTATAAAAGCACAAAATTAAATTGAAAATTTAAATTAAACTAAAAACAAAACAAAAACTATAATAGTTTTTTATATTATACTATAGACATTGATTTTCAATGTAGACTGACATTCTTTTTTGAAGTATTGTTCCATAAATTTCTAATAAAAGCAAATATAATAATATTTTCAAAATATCTGATAAACGATGAAAATAAAAGAAAAGTTAAAGTGAAACAAATATTTGATAACTTATCAAAATGATAGTTAATCTTATTTAGAAACGAAGTAATTATTATGGATTAAAAAATATTGTTAAATGAATAATTATAACTGATGTCAACACCATACTCTTTGTATAGTGCTTTGTGCTACTTAGTTAAAAACAAGAAAGCTTCTTTTATCTGCAGAACTTTTTTTTAACATGCAATTTTCAACGAAAAAAATATTGGGGTTTTTAGTGTTTTGATTAATAATTATATTTACCCTGATATACAATATATATTTCTAGTTATTGTACTTAAGTTATTGTGTATTTTGGATTTGTATGCATTATATTATCTTAATTTTAGTTGGGCTGGCACAGACTCATTTTATTTGTAACAAGTCCAACGAAATAGATAATGTTTACTGGGAGGAAACTAACCAAGAAAGGATAAGTGTTCTACAAATAACAAAGGAGATAAACTCACAAAAGGGGAAAAACAATCTGATTTATTCATTGGATGAGATTACATATTTATACTACAGTGAGTCCAAAGAAGTTGTGGAAAAAGATACTTAGGAAATACAAACAAAGACTAAATTTTTAATGCAAATTTCAAAATATTAATGCATTAAAATATTCAGGTTTCCATATGTTTTTAATGAAAAGTTCGAAATTAAAATATTTATATATTTTATATGATATATAGTTTAATTTAACTGATATTAAAATATATGTTTTGTTTCAATATGAATATCTATTAAATGTACTTCATATTCATATGATTTATGATCATTTGTATATTGTTATAACCAAAAAAGTAAAACCATTGTTCACAAATTTGCATTTTAAAATTTACTACAATTTTAGTAGTTTATAATCGTTTTTTAAAAAAAAATATAAAATATAAAAAAATCTAGACTTTTATTATATAGTTACAGTGATTGTTCAATTTTTGAAATAATATAAGTTAAAAACATGATAGGATACAAAAAATGTGATCAAATCTTTATTATTCTAAATTATTGATTGTCATATAGATATTAGTTATATTAGGTAATTTATATTTTTTATTTAAAAAAGAGTTGAGAATATTATTTTATGCATTACTAATCAGTTTGATAATTTATTTAATAAAAATAGAATATATATAGACATATGAACCTATTTTCTAATAATGTAAGAATCATCGTAGTGATAACATGATGGTTATATTCAAATGCTGTAATGGTCCTTAATTAATGTATAATGAATTTCGTTCAGGTTAGTTCAAATAAGATTTGCGAAATTAAAAAAAAAAGTTTAGCAGAAGATATATCCATCTTTAATTAAGAGAAATTTCATTGGATGCATTTTTTAGTTTATTTTCACAAAATAGCTCTCAAGGAAAAAAATGACCAAAATATTTTTTTATTAGAGGATAAATATGTATTTATATCTTTGAATTAACTAATCTAAACTTAGATTTTAGAGTTACGGATTGAGATTTTGGGTTTATGATTTTGACTTTTTAAAAATAAAAAATAAATATTACAAATTTTAAAATAGTAATAAAGTTATTTGGTCACTTTATTTTTTAAATGTTACTTTGTAACAAAAACTTAAAAAAAAACTATTTAAGAGAATTGTCTATTAACTAATATATGGGGAATTTCGTTGAATCAATTGCTGATATACTCTTCGTCCAGAGATTTTATTCTCATATACTCTTCTTTGTTTTCTATTTTTCTTTTTCATTTATTTTTAATTCGAAAACTGACTAAAAACCCAATCAATTATTAATGAATCCACTTCTTTATAGTGCCACTAAACCTAATTTTTTTCTTATCTGTATTTAACGTTTTCTTTTATTCTTGTCTTTTTCAAAACACTTTCTCTCTTGTATTTTTTTCTCATTCTTCTTGTTTTTCTTTTCACCATATCTTTTGTTAAAGGATTTTATAAACTATACTCCTTTTCTCTTCCTCCTCCTTGTCCTCTGTTCCTCCTCCACCTCTGTTTCCTCCTCCTTCTTCTCTTTCGTTTTCTCCGTTTTTTTTTTTTTCTTCTTCTTGTTAGTCCATCTCTATTTTTGCTAGATTCACCTCTTTTTGTCATAGATCTGTCTTCTCTTCCATCTATATTTTTGTATTTTCTATTTCTTGATCTAGAATACGAAAGTAAAACTATAAACCCAGAAAAACCATTTTACCAAATTATACTCAATTATTAGTATAACTTGGTAAAACTGTTTTTTTTTCTTCTGGATTTGTAGTTTCACTTTCGTGTAACTTGGTAAAACTGTATTATTTGGTGTAACTAGGTTTTAGTTTTACCAAGTTGTACCATGAAAAATGTATACCATCATCAAAGTATAATTTGGTAAAACTAAGACATAATTATACCAAATTGTATTTCGACAATGGTGTAATTTCGTTCAACTGGGTTTTCAGTTTTACTAAAATTTTAAATTCAAAAATTGAATTTGATAACTAAAATTCGAAATTCAAATCATTAAGAGTATCCGAGAATTTTACCCAATTTTGTTCACGCTAGTTTAAAAAATATTTATGAAATTAAATAATAAAAATTCCAAAGAAAAAAGTACACCACGAGAAGTGAGAGAAAGTAGATCTACTTTTGGTCCCGCGAGCGGCCGATGCGTGAGCATGCATGTCATCGCCGGAGTCCTCCGTTCTTCCGTCAAAGATGTCCGGTTTTTGATTCTCTCTCGTCTCCTTTCTCTTACCGCCTTGTCTGAGCTCTGGTCAAGTACCCTCCGGTTGTCGCTAACTCAAAAAGTGAACCGACATCACCGGTGGATCTGTTTCTGGCGTGAAGATGCGGTCGTGTGGAGGTTATGGCGTGATAAAGAGATTTCGAGTTTTTTAAGTTCATTCTAGGAGGTTGAGGCTCCAACAGTTTCACTGCCGCCGGTTTTTGTCTTCGGGAGGTGGAAGTTTCTTCAGTTTCACCGTTGTTGGCTTTACGTCGTTGGCTTTAGGTACTCATTACAATTCAGTGGTTAGGGCTTGGGGTCCGTTTATGGATCGGGAGTGGTTCTCGTTTGTCTTTCTAGTGGTTGAGGCTGAGATCTCTATGGATCGATGAAGCTCTCCGACATGAAAACAAAGCGGTGAAGAACATAGTTAGTTTCGGCGGAGGCTCTACGATTTTCTGAACTCTGTCGAAATGAGGGTTTCAATGGTTTGTTCCGGCGATTTTTCGAGCTGGTGATGGTCAAGTTGGGGCGGAGCGACGCGTGTCGTCCTGACGATGCAACCTCCTTGACGCGTACATCGGCTAATGTCATCCGTTCAAATGTCTGGGCCATTGGCCCGTTTAGTGTATTTAGACTTTGGCCGTTTATGTTCTGGCCCTTAGGTTTGTGGGCTTTTTGTTGGTAGTTGTGTAATTGGGCTTCAGTCTTTCTTCTGGGCTTGGCCCATTTGATCAATATAAAAAAAAAAAAATTGACGAAAAAAAAAAAAATAATAATAACAAAAAAAGGTTTATCCTTTCACTTGTTCTCGTTTCCCTCTCTCCGTGTTCTCTCCAATGGCGGACAAGCTAGCTCTCCCTCTTCTTCTCCCAACCAGCACACCTTCCTCAAAACCCTTATTTCACCACCAAAATCATCAAACAAGGCCCTTTCTAACCTCACAACAACCTCCATCACAACCTTCTCCAGTTGAACCTCTCCTCCACGACGTCTTTCTCCACCAAAACCCTAATAATCCCATTATCACCCCACAATCTCCTAAAACCCGTAACCGAACTCGACTCGGCAAGTCACGACGAGACCCTAACCTCGGTAAGCCTTGGTCTTACCACGGCTTATCCCCACAAGGTCACCAGATTCTCCGCTCCTTAATCGAATCCCGCCACACTTTTAATTCCGCCCAATTCGACCCTCTTCTCTCCCACTTACCTTCCTCGGACCTACTCCCTCTTCTCCAAGGATTAGGCTTCCACAAGAGACCCGATTTAGCTCTCGCTGTGTTCGATTGGTTTACGAAGCGAAAGGGTTATCATCAGTTAGATAACTCTGTTGTTTCTCATGTTATCGCTACGTTGGGGAAACAAGGAAGAGTCTCTTCCGCTGCGGATTTATTTAACGGGTTGATCGAAGACGGGTTTAATCTCGATGTTTACTCGTACACCTCGTTGATATCCGCGTTTGCGAATAGCGGGAGGTATAGAGACGCTGTGAAGGTGTTCAAGAAGATGGAGGAAGAAGGGTGTGAGCCGAGTTTGTTTACTTACAATGTTGTTCTGAATGTGTTTGGGAAGATGGGTGCTCCTTGGAGTAAGATTATGTCTCTTGTGGAGAAGATGAAGAAGAGTGGTGGTGGTGGGATTGCTCCGGATGTAGTCACGTACAACACGCTTATAAGTTGTTGTAAAGGAGGGTCTTTGCATGAGGAAGCTGCTCGGGTTTTCGAGGAGATGAAGATGGCGGGGGTTAGTCCTGATAATGTTACTTATAATACCTTGATTGATGTTTATGGGAACTCTCACCGGCCTAAGGAGGCTATGAAGGTGTTTAATGAGATGGAGGTTTGTGGGTTTACGCCGAGTGTTGTGAGTTATAACACGTTGATATCTGCGTATGCGCGTGACGGGATGTTGGATGAAGCAGTGGAGGTTAAGAATCAGATGGTGGGGAAGGGAATGAGGCCTGATGTTTACTCGTACACCACGCTTTTTTCGGGGTTCGAGAGAGCTGGGAAGGTTGAGTCTGCTATGAGTGTTTTTGAAGAGATGAGAGACGCTGGTTGCAAACCGAATATGTGTACTTTTAATGCGTTTATAAAGATGTATGGTAACAGGGGGAAGTTTGCTGAGATGATGAAGATATTCGATGAGATCAACGCGTGTGGCCTTTCTCCAGACATTGTCACTTGGAACACATTGTTAGCAGTCTTTGGTCAAAACGGGATGGATTCTGAAGTTTCAGGTGTGTTCAAGGAGATGAAGAGAGCAGGTTTCGTACCTGAGAGAGAGACTTTCAATACGTTAATCAGTGCTTATAGCCATTGTGGTTCCTTTGAACAAGCTATGACTGTTTACAGGCGAATGCTTGAAGCTGGGGTCACTCCTGACCTCTCCACTTATAACACTGTGTTGGCAGCTTTGGCACGTGGAGGAATGTGGGAACAATCCGAGAAAGTTCTTGCGGAGATGGAGGATGGTCGGTGCAAACCGAATGAGTTAACTTACTGCTCGCTACTTCATGCGTATGCAAATGGCAAGGAGATAGGTCGGATGCATTTCTTAGCAGAAGAAGTGTACTCGGGAGTTATAGAGCCTCGGGCTGTGCTTCTGAAGACACTAGTCTTGGTTTGTAGTAAGTGTGATCTTTTGCCGGAAGCAGAACGTGCCTTCTCCGAGCTTAAAGAAAGAGGGTTTTCACCAGACTTAAGAACTTTGAACTCTATGGTCTCTATATACGGAAGGAGGCAGATGGTGGCAAAGGCAAACCAAGTGTTAGACTACATGAAAGAGATGGGGTTCACACCAAGCACGGCGACGTACAACAGCCTCATGTACAGGCATAGCCGGTCTGTGGATTTCAGAAAATCAGAGGAGATCTTGAGGGAAATACAAGCCAAAGGCATCAAACCAGATATCATATCGTACAACACAGTCATTTACGCCTATTGTAGGAATACTCGGATGAGAGATGCTTCTAGAATCTTCGCAGAGATGAGAGATTCAGGGATTGTTCCAGATGTAATCACCTACAATACATTTATTGCATCTTATGCGGCTGACTCGATGTTTGAGGAAGCCATTGGTGTTGTTAGGTACATGATCAAGAATGGGTGTAGACCAAACCAGAAGACTTACAACTCCATTGTTGATGGTTACTGTAAGTTAAACAGGAAAGATGAGGCAAAGCTGTTTGCTGAAAATCTGAGGAATCTTGATCCTCATGCTCCTAAAGGCGAGGATCAAAGGTTGCTGGAACGCATAGTGAAGAAATGGCCAATAAGATAGTTGGGATTCTAGAATCAGGACTTTTGGCTTTGTCTCCTTATATCCCAATAAGCATATCTGCGTATCGCATTAAGCTATACAATATCTGCAGCTCTGACCCTTCATCATCGCCTCACTTGTACAGATGAAACTGAAGTATGAAACCGTTTGGTGGTTTTTGGTTAGTTTATGTATGGGATTACTTGTGCTCAAGCTCTGGTTCGTTTTTTTTTCCTTCTGATGATGAAAATATGGAACTAGTTTGGCTGAGATCGTTTCTAGATCGGAAAGGAGAGATGTTTTTTGTTTTTTTGTGTCAGGCTAAGAAGCATAGTGATTAGTTTATACCAATTAGTTGTATGTTTTGAGACATCTCTTGTTAGCTTATGTATGGCATGCAATATCATACTCCCCTGTTTTATTATAAGTGTCATTCTACAGCTATTCACACGGATTAAGAAAATAAATAATTTTACATATTTCCTATATAAAAACACAGTTACCTATACACTTAACCATATTTTAACCAACAGAAAAACTAATCATATATAACAAAATTAATAAATTTTGCATTGAAAACTGAAAACAACATTTATTTTGTAACGCAAAAAATTTTCTACAACGACACTTAATATGAAACGGAGGGAGTATTTCTCATTAAAGCTTGCACATTGTTTTTCTCATTCACTCACAAATCTAGTTTATTTGTATGTCATCTACGCTATCACATTCAGTTTATTAATAACTAGGGTTTAGGGATGGATTAGTAATCGAAAAAATTATATAATATATTATCAATTATATTAAATATTTCAAAATAATTAGTTTACTTTAATTTGAAGTAATCTCTCTTTCAATACGTAGATTATTATTCTTATTAGAGGTAATACTTACAATCATAATACAAAAAATATAATTATATATGTACTTCAAAAGGTTGTTAGTTCAATACTATCAATATACTTACCATATTTTTAGTTATATCGTTATTTCAATGAAATAAATAGTAAACCTTTGTGTAACGTGTTTAAATTATCATGTATTTAGTTCAAAAAAAATTATGTTAGATTTATTAGGTATATATGTGTATACTATACTATAATTTCAGGTTTTAAATATCACAACTGATATTTGATAAATTTCAATGTTAACATTAAATAGTTTTTATTAGATAATATAAATTTAATGATTTTTACGGAGGTGTAACTAATATGTATATTATTGTTACAGCTTTAGCAAGGAACACAACAAAAGACTACATCGAGAGGATCAATCTTCACTATTTTATGTGATGTGATAGGTTTTGAAATTTTAAAAGATAAAAATAATTTAATATAAAAAATTAATAAAATAAGAAATTTAAATAAACTGAGGATTATGTTTATATATATACTAACTCATATAATTTTAGGACTATATATCACATTTCATTTGTCTATGCATATTACCAAAATATCATCGTATAACTTTTAAATTTAGTAACTCATGTGTTCCTTGTTTGCTGTAACGAAGTATATATAGTTTTGTTGATTTACATCTAGAAGTTAGATATTTTACCATTGTTTGATAGAGAGATCTGAGGATTAAAACCCTTCAAAGTCACAAAAACTAATCTTCTTCAAGTCGATAGAATATTTTATATATTGATGCTTCCTTTTAGTAGCACAATTATATTTGAGTGGATAAATAATCTACACCTCATCAACCGGGCTAAAACTAAACCATGCTGGAGTTAGGGGAGGAACGGATTGGATATCCGAGGTATTTTAGCATATCCGGATCCGGATTCGATAGAAGTAAAATTGCTATCTGGATCCGGACCTTCCGGATATCCGGACTAAAACTCGAATACCCGTAGATATCCGGATCCGTTTAAAAAAAATAAAAAAAAATTAGTTAAATTAAAAATTAAGTATTTATTTATTCTATTAAAAATTATTATTTTGTAAAAAGTTAAAATAAAGTAATGTAATTTAATAATAAAATTAAGTTTTAGTTATTTTTCATAAAAATATATATAATATATTTTAAATCTTTTAAATATTTTAAATATCCTAAAAATATTTAGTGGGTTCGAATCCGGATCCGGATATCCGAACTAAAAATTTCACTATCCGGATCTGGATCCGTAGAATCACTATCCGGATCTGGATCCGTAGAATCACTATCCGGATCCGGATCCCCCGGATATCCGTTTTTCGGAGTGGATCCCGGATCAGATAGCGGATAGTAGGTATTAAGTCCCAGCCCTAGTTAGAGCTATTAAAAATTTTACATCACAGTTACAAAAGGTTCATGTATTATAGAGTTCAAACGTCACCCCGAATGGTAAAGTAACGTGGGAAAAATAAAAGATTTTATTGACAATTTTTGAGCTAACGTAGCAATTTCTTTTTTTTTTCCTTCGGTGATACTAACATGACACTCTATATGAAGAGATCATTCTCTTTTATATATATATATATAGAATGGACTGAAACAATTTTGTTTCGTTTTTTATTAGGTGGGGCATTTTAGGTTCTAATTGGGTGGGACATTTCTAATTTCCTCTTGAACTTAAAACAAGTTCTATTTACTAGTAATAAAGTTATTTTTTAAAAAGAGTGTTGGGCAATAGCCACACCCACTTTTCTCTTCGGTCCGCCCCTGGGTGCCAACCATTACAGAGTACAATATCATAGCTGGAAACTACGTGAAAGAAGTCTTGGGTAATCATAAGATTGATATGCATCCCTATATTTATTATTAATTATACAGTCGCCGATTAGAAAATTTTCCACGAGGAACATATATTATGTTCTCTCTTTATATTTTATTGCAGGAAAGCAATAGTTTGGTTGGCATGGCATGAGCTCAAAGTTATATAAAGTGCACATCCAATAATCCAAGTCATTGTCTTTATGCATATACACGGTTCTGTCACAATTTGACTTGTTCACACGGTTCCACTAATTAATTCAGATTTCAGACTAGATGTAGTTATTTGAATGGATATAACACAACAACTATTTATAATCAGCGAACGTTTAATTTTATAATAAGCTCATTGCCATACTGGTTAATTAATAAAACATATTACTAGAAAAAAACTTTATGAAAAGAAAGAAAAACAAGAGATATATTCGACTATATTATCAGTCTTCCCGAAGCATCTACCGATTATATTGACAGGTATTATTGAGAGATTTGACGATCTTCCAAGGAAATCGCCAAAATTAATAATTTGATTATTTTGTTGATCAGAATCAAAAGAGATGTGCGTAATCATATTTAAAACATATAAAATGTAAATAACCTAGAGTTAGAAAGAGACAAAAATAACTAACCACGAGACTGTCAATGCCCATGAGTATATGCATGTGGTCGGGTGAGCAGGTGAGGTAATCCAATGTTTTATGTAGAACAAAAAACGAAAACAACTTCTAAAAAGTACTCATGTGAGATTTGGATAAGAAATATTTTTGCATAATATTTTGATTAGTAACACAATATATAAATAATAATAAAAACTATTATCATATTATTTTATCGATTAGTATTATATTTTAAATCATGATAATTTAAAATAAAATCAAATTTATTAATTTTTGATGATTATTAACTTAACCAATACTAATTTATAGATTTTATTACTATATGTATTATGTATTGTTTCACTGAGTTTTGAAGTTATGATTAGGGGTGGGCGTTTGGGTTTCATTTAGATTTTGGTTCGGGTTTATTAGGGTTTTGGGTTTTCGGGGTTAAAGATTTTAGGCTTATTCAGATATTTTAAAATTTTATTTGGATTCGTTTCGGATATTTGAAGGTTCGGTTCGGATTCGGATAATCCATTTACCTTATTTTAAAAATTTTAAAATTTATTATATATTTTAAAATTCTCATAATTTATAAACAAAATAATATATTATATATAAATTTGAATAAAATACCTAAACTTAACATATAAATTGAAATAGTTTGAATATTTGGATAGAGAGTCGATATATATATTTTAAGTATTTTTCGTGTAATGAGTATAATTTAGCTAGTTAGACATTTAATTTTGACTATTTGTATATATCTTCAAATATTATGGATAACTTAAAAATATTTTATATATATTAGATGTTTTTAAATGTACATTAAATCTTAAAATAATAAATATAACTAAATATATAAGTCTATTTCGGATACATTTGAGTATCCATAATATTTCGGTTTGGATCGGGTTCGGTTTCGGCTTTTTGAATACCAAAATTTTAAATCCGTTCGGATATTTTGTCAATGTTGGTTCGGATTCGATACTATTTTCGGATGGTTTCGTTTTGATTTCGGGTTCTTTTGTCCAGCCCTAGCTATGATATTTGTTCACCCTATTCGTTGTGTTTTTATTGCGTTGACAAATGAGTTTTGTCAAGATCTCATAAACTTCCATCACCATGCCTGCTTATGCTGTTAAGTAGACGTGGCTTTCTACTAGTGGAATATGTAACACACGCGCTCTAGAGCGCACATGAGAAGGAAGGATACATTCCACTAACGGTGAAAATGAAATGACAACACTCACGGTCGTAGACAATTCTACTGTCTGATATTTTTTTTGTTTCTCATGTCTGAAAATTAACCAAAACGCAAACGTTTAACACGTCTTACCTTCCTATAGCACGAGGTCCACGAGCAAACGCTCTCGTCTGCTTATTTATCACACACCTCTCTCTTTCTCTCTCTCTCAATCTAAACACAAAAGAGTAAAAAAATAAAAATGTTTGTAACATCTCCGGTGAAAACAAACTTCTACGGCGTCAGCCTAGTGAGATCTCCGGCGTTTCCGATACTTCCACGGCGGCGACAACACATAGTTCCAAGTTCTAGACAAGTCCGAGCTGTGATAAGCCGGGAAGAAAAGTCGGTGGATCAAGAAGATGGTAAAAATCTAAACGGTTCACTAATAAGTAGCTCTCCTGCGTTTCCGTGGCAGAGATCTAAGTATGAGGGAACCAAAACGGTTGTGGCGGTTGTGAAGATCAGGAAGAAGATGAGAGAGAAGCTAACGGAGAGGCTTGAGCATCAGTTAGAGCTTTTGATGAAAGCCATAGGTCAAGGGATGTTGATTCAGCTTGTTAGTGAAGAAATCGATCCTGGTTCGTTTTTTTTTTATCCTTACTTCTTTTATTTTTACCAAATTTGTTTTCTTAATATTCGATTTGCCTTTTTTTGCATATAAATCAGTTTATCACTTTTTGAGCTAGAGGACAAAGAGCCAATTTGTTCGTTTCTTGAAACATTTCTTGATTTTTCTGCCTTTTTAGATTTATCTTTAGATTCTAGCAATTTTTTTTGGATCGCGGTTTTGGTGATAACTTCAAGATGACAGCTATTTTCTCGAGCATAGTTAATGATAGTTTAGTGGACTTAGATTTGATTAGTGGATGTTAATTAAGAACCACCAATCAGTTCTTAATTTCTTTCTACTTCGCTGTCATGGCCGTTCCGCTGGAACTAGTTGGTGGTGGTCAATTCTAATGATCATTATATTGCAAAACCGAATCTTTCATCCTCCTGGCTAGATCTGAGTTTTTTTTTTTTTTTTTTAATTTTCTTAGATTTGATATGTGCATTATTGTGCCAGATCGTCTAAGTTATCAATCCGGGTTTTCTTTCTAGTATTCTGTGCATTTTAAAATTTGCGTTATTATGATGATAATAATAAATTATCAAAATTAATATATTGTACCTATTAAAATAGTACTAGACATTATAAAATACAGAAAATAATATATTTATTATTAAAATTAAAATTTAATATATTTTAAACACGTTTAAAACACATAAACATACATCTTTATTATTTATAAATAAAAATGGTGTAGTTTAATTAAGAATAGTAAGTATAATATATTCATCTATACTAATAAGTTAGTGAGATTATTAAATAATGTACAAAATAACAAGACTTGACTTTTCATACCTTTCCTTTTTGTGTGTTAACGCCACACATTTACCGACACATGCTTCTTATCTATTCAATAACTATTAAACTTGAATGGTGAGGTGACACAATGTTTGTCATTACATATTACAGAAACTGGTTCGGGTCGAAGAAGTTCAGAAACTCCAGTGTTAGGACTCCCCAAGGAACGGAACAATCCTAGATACCTCGAGTTCACAGCCAACTTCACTGTCCCCACTGACTTTGGTAAACCAGGTGCCATTTTTGTCACCAATCTTCTTTCCTCGGAGATTTGCTTGTCAGAGATTATCATCCATGATGGCAGTGATACCATCCTCTTCCCTGGAAACACTTGGATCCACTCTAGAAACGATAACCCTGAAGGCAGGATTATCTTCACAAGCCAGGTGAGAACCTCTTCTTCTATATCATTATACTTTTGATTATTAGTTGTTAAATTTAGGTCTATATAAGTGGGTTTCCCTATTAAAATCATTTGGCGATAATTAGATTTATCTATCTTTATCCTCTCTCCTTTGTTTTTTATATGATGACTTATTGCACAAAAATTAAGAAATTTACATTCTGTAAAAAGTAGTTTTCAATATATAATTTAAAATCAGTTAACCATTTATAAAAAGATTATAAAATTTTATTGGTTGAACCATTTTCAATAAAATTAAAATTAATTTTAAAATCTCAGAACAACATATATTTTGAAACAGTATGTACCTTCTAAAATATCATACAATTTGAAATGGAATGTGTATTAGTTAATTATTTTTCTAACTACTGATTTGATACTGTATTCATTCATTTAATAGTTTTCTTCTTATTGTGTTAAAAAAAAAAGTTTTCTTCTTACCATCATTTAAGTTTTGATTATTTATTTTTGTGCATTTTTACACTTATTAATCATCATGTTGCTTCACTAGACATGCATACCTTCCCACACTCCAGCCGGGATCAAAGAGCTACGAGAAAAGGACTTGACTAGTGTCCGTGGCAACGGAAAAGGCGAGAGAAAGCCTCATGAGAGGATCTATGACTACGATATCTACAACGATATAGGCGATCCACGTAAAAAAGATCGAGTCAGGCCTATTCTTGGTGTTCCAGAGAGGCCCTATCCAAGACGTTGTAGGTCTGGCCGGCCTCTCCTTCCAGACACACCGTTTGAGAGCAGAGGAAAAGACAAGGATGAGTTTTATGTCCCAAGAGACGAAGTCTTTGAAGATATCAAGAGAGATACGTTTAGAGCTGGGAGATTTAAAGCTCTCTTTCACAACCTCGTCCCATCTATTGCAGCTGCGTTGTCTAACTTAGACATTCCTTTTACATGCTTCTCGGATATAGACAGGTTATACAAATCTGATATTGTCTTGAGACATACAGAGACACAAGACAAAGGCCTTGGTGGTTTTATTGATGGGATACTCAACGTTGGTGAAACGTTACTAAGATATGACACTCCTGCCGTTATAAAATGTAATTTCTTAATACTCTTGAAACTGTACCATCATTTTTAAAGTACATATGTCATGTATGTTCTGGTTTGGGTTGTTCAGGGGATAGGTTTGCTTGGCTGAGAGACAATGAGTTTGGTCGTCAAGCTCTTGCCGGTGTCAACCCTGTCAACATTGAGCTTCTGAAGGTATGTTTCATTTTACAGAAACAATCCAAGGTGGAAACTCCGTATCTATGTGAACAACATATGTAGTCTGAACTCTTGCACTTCGTGCAAGCTTGTCCGCTACTAAATTTGTCGATTATGGATATTACCATTTCTATACCAACAATATTCTGTGAGAGTTTCTTAAACATTTTGTTATGTATTGACAGGAGTTGCCAATTAGAAGCAAGCTTGACCCGGCACTATATGGATCTCCAGAATCTGCTCTCACAGAAGAAGTGATTGCTCGAGAAGTTCTACACTATGGAATGACTTTAGAACAGGTTTAGTAGTGTTACAACAATTGTTTTGTAGACTCTTCTCATTTAGTTGATTGTAGGACTAAGAGGTTTGGTGTATCTTTTTTATGATGTAGGCGTTTGAGGAGAAGAGATTGTTTCTCCTGGATTACCATGACATACTCTTACCATTTGTAGACAAGATAAACTCCATCAAAGAAGATCCAAGAAAGACATATGCTTCAAGAACAATCTTCTTTTACTCAAAAGCTGGTGCCCTAAGGCCATTGGCTATAGAGCTCTCCTTGCCTCCCACACCTGAGAACGAAAACAAGTTTGTTTATGCTCACGGACATGACGCTACTACTCACTGGATTTGGAAGCTAGCCAAAGCTCATGTCTGCTCAAATGATGCTGGTGTTCACCAACTAGTTAATCACTGGTAAACTTTAAGTCACTTAAACTTTGTAATAATCTCCATTGATTTGTATTAATGAGACATATTATTTTGGATAAAATTCAGGCTAAGGACTCACGCTTGCATGGAGCCTTACATCATTGCTACCAACAGACAATTGAGTTCAATGCATCCAGTTTACAAGCTGCTTCACCCTCATATGCGTTACACGCTAGAAATCAATGCGCGTGCACGTAAAAGCTTGATCAATGGAGGAGGGATTATAGAGAGTTGCTTCACTCCTGGAAAATACGCAATGGAGCTAAGCTCTGCAGCTTACAAGAGTATGTGGCGGTTTGACATGGAAGGACTTCCTGCTGATCTTATCCGAAGGTTAATAAAAAAAACAAACACAAAAACTCTCTTTTAGTTTGGTCTTATTGTCTTTTTCTTTAATGTTGTATGACATCATATACAGGGGAATGGCAGAGGAGGATTCTTCAGCTGAGTGTGGTGTGAAGCTTGTGATAGAAGACTATCCTTACGCAGCAGATGGTCTTTTGATCTGGAAAGCTATCAAGAACCTAGTTGAATCATACGTGAAACACTTCTACTCTGATCCTAACTCCATAACCTCTGACCTTGAGCTCCAAGCGTGGTGGGATGAGATCAAGAACAAAGGACACTACGACAAGAAAGACGAGCCTTGGTGGCCTAAACTAAACACAACACAAGACTTGACCGAGATCCTAACCAACATGATCTGGATCGCATCAGGACAACACGCGGCACTTAACTTTGGTCAGTACCCGTTCGGAGGGTATGTACCTAACAGACCTACGCTGTTGAGGAAACTTATACCGCACGAAAACGATCCAGACTATGAAATGTTTATGAGGAACCCTCAGTACAGCTTCCTAAGCTCTTTACCGACACAGCTTCAAGCAACTAAAGTGATGGCAGTGCAAGAGACGCTCTCTACGCATTCTGCTGATGAAGAGTACTTGATTGACCTGAAGGAAAATCAGAGACGTTGGTTTCAAGATGAGGAAGTGGTTAAGTATTTTGACAAGTTTACTGAGGAGCTTGAGGAGATAGAGAGGAAGATCAATGGGAGGAACAAAGATAAGAAACTGAAGAACAGAACAGGTGCTGGGATGCCTCCTTATGAACTGCTTATACCTACTTCACCACATGGAGTCACTGGTCGTGGTATTCCCAACAGCATTTCTATCTAGTTATGTCGTATGGGTTTTTGTTTGGTGTTAAAGAGTATGTATGGTAGGATGATCATATATGAGGATTATTACTTTTTTTTTTTTTTCAATATATGATAATAATGTAAGAAGTTCAATAAAGGTTTCAGACTTTCAGTTCTGAAGGACATACAAAAAAGGTTTTGGTGTATCATAAGGTAAATTCTGCAATTGATAAGAGAAGAAAAACGATCACTTGAGTGTTCTTCTGCAAACACTTGGCTACGCATTCGTATCGATTCTGTCCAACAATAGCATGTGCCAGGAAGCTGTACACATAAGTTGACTGATACATCTCCAATGCAAAATCCGGGACTTTATGATGGTTTTATCATCCATTCTTCCCAGCATTGACTCTTTGAAAATGACCCGGGCTTGCTTACATGACTCCAGACAAGAGTTTCAGCCTGAATACTGCTATTCTGGCTATAATAATGGTAAAATTGTCAAAATCTTAGGAACGAATGCACTAAAGTTTTTAAGGATCCAAAAAGAGCAGGGTGATTTTAAGAAAGCTTACAGAATTCACTCATAAACACTTCCAGCAAATGCTTTTGGACCTTTTACTTTTACTAATGAAAGCCTAACGAGCGTTTCAAGCACTTTGCAGTCAGTAACAAAAAAGTTTATTCAGCAGTGTTACTCTATTTGCAGCCATGAGCTCCTAAGCAATTCAAAGAAACTGTTCTCCCTAAACACCAAAGACAATAATGTTCCTGCAGTTTCATAGCAACCACTTAATTTTGGAGAACAATTTATAGGTGTGATCCTAGACGGGCACTTAAAACAAGTTACAACCCTACAAACGTCCAAACTATATGTTTATTGTTTACCTTGCAGACAGAGATTCATGGGTAACCATATTTTCTTCTTCACAGACAAGACTGTCACCTCCACTTCAACACCATTGTTTCTTGCAATCACAATGTCAATATTATATAAAAAAGGACAGAGGGTTGATTTAGATGAGTGTAGGTGAGAAGAATACGTTCTCTCCCTCAATAATATTCATTATACTATGCTAGATACATCAGTTTCAGTAGGGAATGAGTTTTTATTGTCATGTCACACCTTGCAGAAAAAGCATTGTCAGAAAGCTGCAGCGTAGCTTGTGAACACATTAAGCCTGCAAGGAATCCAGCTGGTGGTAGAGGAAATCATTTCACAAATCACCACGGACCCTTGAAATTAGTAAAGAAAGTACAAATGATAGTCTGAGATGCAAATGTTCCAACCTCTGCTTAAGCAGCAGTCCTCGCCTAAAATCTTGTAATTCCAAGGTATCTGAGAGCCTCAAAAGTAGGACACCAACTGCTATCTTCATTTGGTGAGCCACACTTTAGCCAAACAGACCACCAGACCCAAGTTCGGTTTGTGTTAGTTGCTTCCTACGTTGCTCTGCCAAAGGATCAGGGCTCTTTATCATCCTCCTCCCACGCCTTGAAACAGAAGGAAAAGGTTAATGACGGAATTAAAGTACATCAGTGAGCGTTTCAGTTTAGATATATCTCCTCACCTGTCTTGGGCATGTTGAGCAGGGAAAGTAGGCATGAAATCTTTGGATTTTGGCAGAGGGACTTCCCGGAACCATTCATGCTTAAGAGCAGCATCAACAGTTATTCTCTATAAAACAAGCCCCAGAGATTCAAAAGTCAAGAACCAATCAAGGTGCTTACCGGATAAGCATACATGACTTTTATATCAAATATTTTCTATTACCCTCTCAGGATCAAATGTCAGGAGTTTATTCAGCAAGTCAAACCCAGCGTCGGACAGAACTGGTGAACCAGTAAATGAAGTGGCTGGAAACTTCTTACGTAATAAGTTATACCTGAAAGAATAAGCCAGTGGTAAGAAGAACGACATAACAACTGTGAACAGCCGGAAAAAGAACAGCCAAATTGACAGACCACGTCACCAAGAGCTAGAAAGCCTGGGAGCAATAGTAGACAGTTTCAGCAAATTTACACTAAGGACATGCTTGCACAACAGCTGAATATTACAAACACTTACTGCTGCTTGACAAAGTTGACCTTGACTCCAGGCAGCTTGGAGAATCCAGGCCAAATTGATTCATTGGGAGTACCCAGGATTCTGAAAATCTGTAAATTTAAAGCAGTAATTTATAAGCTGAATGTGTTCCCAGGATGGCTGGAGATGCAAGTCAAAACCTATGTTTGAATTACCTTGTCAAGTTGATCAAACTCAGTTTTACCATTGAATAATGGTGCTTTAGACAATAGTTCTGCCATGATACAGCCCAGGGACCACATGTCAATGGCCGTAGAATATTGTTTTGCTCCCAAGAGAAGTTCAGGTGCCCTAGGAAAACAAATGCAGTCATTGGGCTTGGTCCGGCAGGAAGTGATTAGTGCTAAAAAAGAAGGGATAGTCAACACACAAGGAACAAAACAAGTAAAGAAAGTTGAAGAACACATATTTCCTAATGTGCCCAGCTCTTAATGGGCCATTCCAAGTGATGTTCAAGCAAATAATGCATAGGTATTAGAGTTCAACAGCTAAGCTGGCATATTATGAAGCCTATTCTCAAAGTGAAACCCACAAGGATCCAAGTAAGTGTCACCACTAAAGTTAGTGCCTTAAGAGAACGGTGTTGTGCAGCTATACTAATGCTGGAAAAAAGTTTTTATAGAAAGTCCACAAGAACTAAACTACAATTGCAAATCCAAAACCACAGTTTTTTTCCAACTAGAAAAGGGTAAAAAAGGAGTATACCTGTACCAAAGCGTAACAACAAGATGCGTATAGGGCTTCAGCGGGCTGCCATATTGTCGAGCCAAACCAAAGTCACATATCTTCAACTCACCCCGATTGTTTAGAAGCAGGTTAGATGTTTTCAAATCTCGATGAAGCACCCAGTTGTCATGAAGATACTTGACGCCCTCTAAAAGTTGAAGCATTAAGCATTTAACTTCACTTTGACTGAAACGCTGTTTCATGGTTTCCATCAATGCTTTAAGATCATGTTCCATGTATTCCATAACCATAAAAATGCTATCAAGACTACTACCCACAGCCACCTCTTTAACATCCACTATTGATGGGTGATGAAAAGAAAGAAGTATATTAATTTCCCTAAGAGCAGTCAAAGGAAAACCTTCTCTTTCTTTTTCCATCTTCACCTTCTTTAGTGCCACAATTTCGCCTGTCTTTTTATCCTTCGCTCTATAAACAACACCATAAGTACCTTCATCTATCTTATTTAATCTCTCAAACTCATCAACACTTCTACAACCCTGGAGCATGTTTATACTTCTCACTACAGTACCAGCAGGCTCAGGTATCTCATGTCGAACATAATCATCATCCGAATCTATTTCAATAAGGCTGTTACTAGTATTTCCTCTTCTATATTCCTCCTCATCTATTTCCATATTGTCACCCTTAACAGCATCTTTCTCCTCGGAATCATCCCTGCTTCTCGGCAAAGAATGGTGGCCCCTTTCATCAGAATCAGATGATCTACAACCTTCCCTCATAAACTCTCCGACATCGGGCGTTAAAGACTTATTGCGCACTGGAAGTGGTTTCTTCCTCCTTTTATTTACTCCCACTTCTTCTACTATTTCACCCTCATCAACTGGAGAATTATTTCCAGAAGCCCACCTAGAGGATGATATATTCCTTGTTGGCATGTATTCCCCAACTTCCAAACGTGTTGCATCCTCTTGTTTCCCATCCTGCCCAGCGTTTGATGATTGTTCCACCACACACAAAGAAGCCGGAGATGACACGTTACTCTCTGTAAGAGAAATGTGCGAAAACTTGACACTCGGTGACTGGCTTGACCTCTTAACTAGTGGTGGTGGTGGGGGAGGAAGAGCGATAACCTCCACAGGTTTACCATTTCTACTCAAAGAACTTCTTTCATACTCATCTCTGTCCCACACTACCGGTGAAAACTTCCTCTTCTTTTCAACAGGACTATGACCTCTACTCTCCACCTCCTTCACACCTCCATTCACCACAATTTCAGACTCAACCAAATCATCAGAACAACTCTCACTAGAGACCTCACCAGGCTCCCTATCCACAGACCCAACACATCTTTTAACAAAAGCTTCTCTACTACCTGGATCACTCTTCAATAACCTATACCCACACCTACTCATATCTCCATCTCCTACTCTTAAATTACTAACCTGCCCCTGCCTATTAACAAGAGCACTATTAGAGTAAGCTCTTCCCCGCTTAGAGAATCTAGAATTTGATTCTTTATCTCTCACTTCGTGCTCAGCAGACGTCATACAGAAAAAAAGTTACAATCTTCAAATTTACTCAGAAAAGAGTTTAAAAAAAAACCTAAAACCAAGTTTAATTCGATTGATGAAGAGTCGCGAAGTTTTGATTGAAGACGGTCGCTTACCAAGTAAACTGAGTTTTTTACTGATATTATTACCCCTCCATTGTCTTTGTGTTTACTAAAAGGTGTCCCCTTTTCAATTTTTATGAAATTTTGTAATGAGCCCATATGTTTTGCTCTATTCCTTTTCTCCCCCTTAATTAATTAAGGATTTTTTTTTTTCGAAACTAGCTTATAATTATTGGTCAGACAGAGTACATTTTTTATATTTTATATTTTATACTTCCTTCGTTTTGATTTTTTTTGTCATTCTAGAGAAAAAAATTGTTTCTAAATAAGTGTCGTTTTAGAGTTTCGATGCAAAATTTATTAGTTTTATATGATATTCTGGTGGTATGGGGTGGATTTTCAAGAATACGGAGGGTTTACGGAGCGCTTCTCGCAGCGCCAGCACCTCTGCCATTAAAGCCGAGCTCACATGGGAGCTGCAAGAGGAAGTCTCAAAATCGGGTTGTATGGGGTGGATTTTCAAGAATGCGGAGGGTGAGGTTCTCTGTCGGGGCTCCTTTTCCAGAGCCCATGTGAGTTCGGCTTTAATGGCAGAGGTGCTGGCGCTGCACTCCGTAAGGTTAAGGAGTTACATCTCCCAAGTCTTCAAATCTTTTCGGACTCTCAAGTCTTTGTTTCTACCCTGCGTGAAGGGAAGGATATGAATGAGATTACAGGTATTCTATAGGATATCAAGAACCTTGCCACTCTCTTCTGTCCACTATCTTTTGTGTTTATTCCTTGCTTAGAAAATTCTCAGGCTGACTCTTTGGTTAAGGCAGGCCTCGCTCGTTTGTTGTTGTAATTTGTACTGAAGACCGTTTAAGTAATGCAAGTAATTGTTTGACAAAAGAAAAATGATATTCTATTTTTCTATTGGTTGAAATGTGGTTAGATGTATAGTTAATTGTGTTTTTATCTTGAAAATATGTAAAATTAAATGTTTCTTTAATTTGTGTGTAAAACCTAAAATTACAATTAAAGTGAAACGGATGGAGTAATAATTAGTGATCACTTGATGATTTATTTTATGTTTTTTTTTTAAATGTTGTTTTCACAGAACTAGAACCAAATTAACAAATTAACCTGGTTAAACTGAACGAAACACAAACCAAATCAAACACAGACCAAACCGAAGAGAATACAAACCAAATCAAAGTAATCAGTTAAAGTTTTCTTAGAACTGAAATAATAAAATAACTAAACTAAAACCAGAACAAACCAAATTTCAACGGTTACAAACAAACGGATGGATTGTAGAAAACAATAAACATATAGTTTCAGCGTGAGGGGCAGAACATCACTAACGTATTCTCACCATCTTTGACAAGGTACAAGATATATCGCATATGGTTTTTCGAAGTTGTTCCTCTTCTGATGCAGCTTTACATAACACTGACTAAAAAGAATCAGTGTCTTCTTCACCACTCTCTGTTGTGAACACAATAAAGAGGAATGAGGGCAAAAACTTAATGCACAGAATAGAAAAACAAAATCAAACTATGACTTACCATCCATCGTATCCCTGAACATGTTCCGGCGATATCTAACTTCTTCCTCTTCTGTTGTTGACTCGTTCGAGCTATCACTAAGTACTTGTTCCTCTTCTGTCCTGAACATGTTCCAAGGACATTTAACTTGTTCCTCTACTGTCCTGAACATGTTCCGGCGATATCTAACTTCTTCCTCTTCTGTTGTTGACTCGTTCGAGCTATCACTAACTTGTTCCTCTTCAACCTATAGACATAATGCAAAAAAAAAAAAAAAAAAATCAAATGGGCATTACTAAAAAAGAAAAGAAAAAAAAATTAGAGAGAGTATATATTGGTTTGGTTATACAAATTCAGCATTTACCATGGACATTATTAATATGCAGTTGGTGTGAAACGCATCCTTACAGTGATCACATCTGTAATGATACGTACGACCAGGGAACTTGGTGTCTAATCCGCAGATAGAACAAATTTTCTTGACATGAATTTTCTTGAGGCTAACAATATGCTGATGGCGTTGGTTCTTGACATGGGTTGGAAACCCAATACATTCTACATGGGCGCACATGTTACAAATATTACACCCGTAGAAGGACGCACCACATGGTTTATTGCAAATAGTGCAAGGGCGGGACGACAACGACGACGACGCTTCATCGATCCCAAAGTTGTAGGCACAATGCTTGTGGGTCTTGATCTTTGTTGATATACCCACTGCTTGGATGCATTTAAAATGGAAGCTGAGAGAGCAAATGGAACAAGAGAAAACATACTTTGAATTATCAAGCTCAAGTTTGCAAGCAGTGCATTTGGATCCAGGTTTCCGTCTGGTCAGGGGCGAACCCAGAATTTATTTTTTGTGGGGTCAGAATGATGATAATAAATACAAAAAATATCAAAGAAATGGGTCACTAAAGGGTTTGAACCGGGGTTCTGTGGGTTCATTGACTCCATTTTTAACCAACTATACTAGAGTTGCTTAATACAATGTGCTTGAAAATTGAGTTTATAACATCTCTGTGGTGTCAAGTGACCCCACACCATTGCACGTGGGTCCGCCACTGCGTCTGGTCATATGTAAAATGTGATTATAATGAAGTGGATGACTTTCTAGTGCCCGGTATCGCCTCCAAAGTTCGATACACCGAGAATGATAAATCTCTTCACAGTCCGGAGACTATGTTTTCATTACATAGCCTGTCCTCACAAATAGTGCAAGCCACCGTATATGAACTCGAGACCATAACTTGAACCATGTCATGTCCTCCTTTCAAGCAGTTTCCTTGTTCATAGTACCTAATGAACTTTTGACCCCTTTGTAATTCTCCAAGACGCATTTTAACGCTTACCGCGCATTTCGTACAAATGATGAAGTCGCATATGCGGCAGAATAGATTGAAAGAATTTATCTTCCCTTTGCAGATGTTACATCTCAATAATCTCAAAGTAATAGCCCCTGCAGGAAAACTTGGTAGAAGTGTCAAAGGATGACTCAAATGGAATTTATACCTCGATTGTTGTCTTAGCTTTACGCAGTTATCATGTGCCTTAAAGTCACATGTCTGATCGCATTCCCATAATCTTCCATGTATTTTCCTATAACATATCTTGCATTGTATCTGAGAAGCCGTAACATTGCGAGACTTCAGCACATGATTATGCCTAACATCAATAACCTACAAAAACAATTACCTAATTAGACAAATAAATTAATTTGAGCCGTGTAAAACAATGTTGGGAAAAAGTATAATAAAATGTCACTAGCTAGTAATCCGCGCATGGTTCAGAATGAAATAATTGATTAGATTATTTATTTTATGATGTAATAAAAGATTTTTCTTAAAAAAAAATTCGAGGATAAACATTGAGATATCCACTTGGATTCAGTTGATCTAATCAAAATTGGATATTTAAAAATTTTGGTTTGAATTTGGTTTAGATTTGATTCAAATCATTGCGGGTTCGAGTATACCCGTTTTAATTATGGATTTTTGAACAAAAATCCAATATACTTAAGTTCTCAAAATAAAATAATATAAAATATAAAAATGAATAATGTAACATCAATACTTATATTTACATAAACATTAGTTCAATTTTTTAATATTTGGATGGAGAACAAATATATATTTTTAGTATTTTGACATTTTTTGTTATTTTTAGATATATACTTGTGACCACTTTAATAATTCATATTTTTGAATATCTAATATATATATATATATATAATTAAAAATATATTAATTTAAAAAGTAATTAGTTTATTTAAGTATATAATTGTGATTTAGATATTTTTGGTATCCAATATATTTGCGTTTGGATTGGATTCGGGTCTGGTTATCCGGATATTAAATTTTTAGATCCATTTGATTACTTAATCAATTTTAGTTTATGTTTAGTCCTACTTTCAAATCAAGTTCGTTTCTGTGGATCCATATATTTATTCAAACTTATTTTCTTCTATCAATATTAAGCAAAATAAATAAATGTAAAATAAATATTTTGGCTTATTTTACATACATAATTATTGAATCCTACTTTAAAGATACAAATAAAAATGATTGTGTGTCATGTCAATACTGTTGGACATTTTAAAAAATTGACATAGTCTATACTCTATAACCAATAATTTGTATCATGGTATAAAAATGCTTTAGTAAATATAATAAAAACATGATACAATTTGGTGAAAGGAGTTTAGGGTTGCATCGAAAATAATGTAATCTCTTAACTTGGTACTCGAATTCAGTTTCTCAATCTATTTCTTTTAAGTTTTTCTAATTTCTATTTTTAGCAATTTAATTTTCTTTCTAATTTTTGTCTGATATGAAATCTCAGTAACAAAAAGCAATATTTGGTTAAACTAAAGTCTCAACCATAGCTAAGCTCAGCAACGTACGAAACTTTTAGTTTTTAATACATTCTCATCCCAACCTTTTAATTTATGTGAATTTAAATTATTTTGTAATTTTTTTTCTTAAATAATAATATTATTCAGTAATTATATGAAGAGTAACTAAAATTCATGATTACAAAGGTTAAAAATGGTGGAACTAAACTAAAGCCTCAACCATAGCTAAAAAAATCAGAAATGGAGGAACTAAACTAGGGCTGGGCAAAAAAACCGAACCCGAAAATCCGAACCGAATCCGACCCGATAAAAAGAAATCCAAACCGATCCGAACCTGACATAAGTACCGAATGGATCTTGTTTTACGGTATTTCGGGTTATGGGTATTACCCGAACCGAATCCGAACTTAAATGGATATCCGAAAGAACCCGGAACTTTAAAATTCCAAACAAATTTGTATCATATCCAATCTAAATTTCTAATATGTTTTCCAAAACAGATTAATATATTATTGAGTACCTACAATAATTAGTTAGGATATAAATAATTAACTCAAATATTTAGTCTAATATATAGTGTTATTTAGTTAATATTTATGTTTATGATTGACATTACATTTGAAGTTAAGTTACGAATAAATTTGTTTTGAATTTTATATAATATTGTTTTTTTTAAGTTTAGATAGTACTTCTTACGTTTATAGAATTGTTATTAACTTCATTTTTTATGTTTCATTATGTATAATATTTCGTTCATACAAGATTTTGGTTTGTCATTAATCATGATATGTTTAGTATTGTCACATATAGTTCAATGACAAATCTTATATGGTTGATAGACGAGTTTCACAATATTATTTTGAAGGAGAACAATATGGTTTGTAGAAGCTAAATACACAAATTTAATAAAATGATTGAAAATATAGTGAGTTTAATTGAGTATAAATTAGTATTTTTAGAACNGTCACATATAGTTCAATGACAAATCTTATATGGTTGATAGACGAGTTTCACAATATTATTTTGAAGGAGAACAATATGGTTTGTAGAAGCTAAATACACAAATTTAATAAAATGATTGAAAATATAGTGAGTTTAATTGAGTATAAATTAGTATTTTTAGAACCGATAACCCGATTAGTATCCGAAACCGAAATTATTTCGGGTTCAACTGGATCTTGGACATGTTACTAAACCCGAACCGAACCCAACTAAACCCGAACCGAATCCGACCCGAATTTTTATAATATCCAAATGGGGTTGAAATTCATGAACCCGAAAACCCGAAATCCGAATGAACCCGAACCGAAACCCGATTGGGACCCCGATTGCCCAGCCCTAAACTAAACTAAAGCCTCAATTCACTATTACAAAGAACTAAAAATGAATTGATTTAAAAATTGGTGTATGAAAAGAATAAATTATGAGTTAAAAAATTAAATTTGTGAATGCATTAATTTTTAAATCATTGTGAGACTGTCACGTGAACATTTTAAAGTTAAAATGGTTGTGAAACTGACATGTGTCAAATATAAAAGATTATATATATGTACCACGAGTTTGTTTTCTAATTCCGTAGTTTCACATTCATCATCGTGATCAGCTGGTGGCCTTGTTATTAGTTTTTCACCATGAGAATACAGATCTTTCAAGTACATCGGGGAAGGCACTTCCTGTGATTAAAAGAAGAAAAAACACATTAATTATAGTTATATTTATTTACCTCATGTAACATGCACTCAATGTGACTAACAAAACCACATTCTAGGCAGCAATAGGCATAAAGTCCTGCGTGTATCCTTGTCTCACAAACGCCACAATACTCCAAAGAGTCGTAATCATCGTCGTCGTCGGGGAAAAATATTTGACACACAAGTGGATGAATGTGATATGATTTCTTGACAACAGACTGGGGTATCTTAAGACAATCGAAGTGATACATCCAACCACATTCCACGCATTGATACGAGTGGTCACCAAAATTGTCTTTCATGCACACTTGACATCCTTTTTTAAATCTTAGCTTAGCATTATTAGCGTCTGGTCCTGGTTTACACCTCCTAAGCAAGTGGGCATGGCTGTAATGGAGCTTTTCTTCCGCGTACCAACTCGTTTCGATGTTGTTCAGGACGGCACAACCAAGATCCAAGAAAATCTCACAGTCTTTACACTTGTAATAAAGGGACAGATCAGAAAACAAATGACCACACCCGGAGCAGAGCTTGTATCCCTCGTTCCCTTCTCTGTTGCCTAGACAGAACTCGAGAGGGTGCTGTGGATGAAAACCATGTGACACCTTGAGTGGTAGCTTGGAGCAAGGTCTGCAGAGATCGAAGTTGCAAAGATCACATGAGAATTCTATCGGTTCGTCCTTGAAGCAGATGTTGCATATGCCGTTGGCTATGATCTCCGGTGAGGTCAGCACACATTCATGGGCACCATGCTTGAGCTTTGCCATGGCAGAAATTGATTCAGATTGAAGTATTAAGCTGTATAGAGATTCTGAGAGCTCAGCATAAGTTTTTAAAGCACTCACATTCCTTTTTTTTTAAAGACCAGACAAGAAGAATCTTTATTGTTTCTCTCTACTGTTTCAGTCTTCCTTTACCATTCATATCTTTGCTTTGAAGAATGACACTTTGACTGGGTCTGCCACAAACTTTTGCTTTTTTTTTTTCTTTGTTGTTTCGAATTATAATTCCAATCTCTTTTTTGTTTGATTTTGAATTTTTTTGATTAAAGCTTGCAATTCAATCTCATGTCTTATCTATGAAGTAAATTTACATGAGATTAAAAGTTGTGATGCTTAAATACCAGTAAAAATAGACGTGGATGTTGTATCCTCATAGCTATGAGGCTTGAGAATTGTCACCCTGGAGACATACACTTGACTTTAAAGAAGAAAATGTCACACAAGTCAGAAAATAAGTATGAGACAACAGACGGGAGGAAGAACAGCATCAGCTGACACACTAAGAGAGGGGCAATTTGCCAACCATTAATTTTTAATTTTTGGTGACAAGTAATCATGCCTGACTCTCCCAACCCATAAGCATTGAAACATATCTCATGGTGTTTATAAACTGACATTATTTTCCAAATAGAATTAGATACCAAGCATCCCTGACCCAAAAACTATTCTACTTATTAGAAAATTAAAAATATTCAGTTTATAGTTCTCTGATAAAATAATAAACGTACATATGATTTTTTTTAGATTATCTCGAACCCCATTCTATTTTTTACAAATAGAGTTTAGAATAAAAAAATATTCCAATGATATTATATTTTTTCACTTTATAATAGAGTAAAAATTAGGTTTATTCTAAATATAGAATAACTTGTTTTTTTGCTCATCATTCTACTTTCCACTCTAAAATAGAATACTATTAGAACAACAACCAATTCTATTATAGGTTTAGTCTATTTTTTAAGAAAAAAAATAGAGTAAACGATCAGAGATGGTCTTAGTTTGGTAATGCCGTAATGGTAACCCTGATCCGTTGCTGCTACTCTACGAAGCATCAGTCAATATTTGTACACCACATTCGGTAATCTCATGGTGTATGCTGATGAATTCAAACCGTATCACGTCGACTTGTTCAAGTAAGACAGAGGAAAATATAAACATATGCTCTACGACCAAGTCCTTGACAACTCCTCCAAATCTATGTGTTGCAATGAGGCGACCTTCCTTACCTATGAGACGACAATACACAGTGCAAACCTTGTTACTCCCGCTTGGCAAAAGCAAGATGCAAGCCTTAAATCCAGAAGCTGCAGCATCTCCAAGATTGACGGTCAAGAAACCTCCTCTCGCACGGTGAATAAACTCCTGAGGAACATCTCGGGCAGGTAAGCATGCTCTCTTGTAAACCCATTGTTGCATAATTGCTCTTCGTGCTTCTCCATCTAGACTCAAACATTTGCTAAATTCTACTCTTGCTTTTGGACCGTTGAAAGATGAAGATAATTTCTCAAGTGATTTACAATTGTTAGCTGAGAGAATCTTGATTGAACCTGGAAGCTCCGGTAGTGATACAAGTTTCTTGCAACCATCGAGGTATAAGTAGTGTAGCCACTGAAGATCTTTGATACAATCTGGAATCATTTCAATACCACTACCGGTTAGGTATAGATACACTAGAGTCTTGGGAAGATGTGAAAACATTTTGAGGTTTCTACAGCCGCTTATATCAAGTGATTCGAGGCGAGACCATTGACCAATTGATGGAGGTATTTCTTCTATACATGTGTTTCCCATAAAGATTGTCTCAATGTTCCTTGAGATATCTGGAAAAAATTGCAGCTGTGAGCATCCTTCCATATCAAGAACCTCAAGAGATGCTAGATTGATGTTAGGTGGTACAACTTTTAGGTTTGCACACTTAGTCGTCCTCAACCATTTTAGTTTCTGAAGATATAAGACAGAGGAAGGAAGGTCCACCAAACTTTCACAACCTTGTAGACACAGTGTCTCTAGACTTTTAGCCTTTGAAAGATCAGGAACTTCTATTAAGTTCTTGGAGAAGCTCAAATCTATTGTCTTGAGGTATACAAGCGTCTGAATGTAAGAAGCATAGCAACCAAAGAAGGTATCAATAAGAAGTTCCACAAGAAATGGATGTAACACACTATCATATATTTTAGAGAAACTTACATCACAATTATCACTTATCTAATGGTAACTGTTTAAAATAAAATAAAATGTAATTGTATTATCAAATAGCAATAATTTCTTTGCCAGAATTTTACATAATTTGTAACCATTGTTGATGATGCTCTTTCTGTGTCTCTGTAATTAGTGTGTTACATAAATTTCTTTTAAATACCATTTTATCCTCTTTTTCTTTATTTCTGTACAATTTTTTTTGTTATTTTTATCTTATTTTTCTTAATGAAAATTTAAAAGTATTGACTGATTATATTGTTTAAGCTTTTAAGTGTTGCATAAAATCGTTTTTTCAATGAATATATGAAAAGAAAAACTATATGAAGAACATGAGCTAACCTGGGTTCCTTCCCAAAGCTTCTCGACTTGGCTATGCATCATGCGGAGTTCCACAAGACTTTCTGGACGAAACTGAGAAGGAATATACTTCATAGGATATGCATCCCAATGTAATAAACTTAGAGTAGGCAAGTAGTTTAGCCCTAGAGGTAGATGCAGTTTCAAACTTGCTTTTTCATCAATTCTCTTGTTGTAGAATCTTAGGAACATGAGGTTGCGCATGTCTTCAAAGACTCTCTCACTCAGGGAGAGACCGTTTTGGATCTCGGACATATCTAATGATATACCACGTATTGTTCCTGACCCCTGTAAATAATTATATATTAGTTACCAATGCAAAAAAAAAAAAAAGTGATATCAAACGCCAAACAAGTTCCTAAGCCAAGCTCATGAGTCATGATCAAAGTTTGTTAATATATACGTACTGTATTATTCTCAAGTATGTTACAAGTCTCCTTTGTATCGAACAAGAACTGACGCTTTCCAGGGTCGCTTGATTGCTTCTTAACGACTTCTCTTCCCAATTTTTGTAACAAATTATGCATTACTATTTTTCGTTCAGCAGTTATTTGAATGAGAGATTTGTCAAGCAACACTTGGAGCCCAAGACTCACATCTAAGTCACTATTGACAAGTAGTTGCGTCACAAAATCAATATTCTCACCATTGAACATGCATGCAATGTGAAGGAAAAGAGCTTTATCACCAACATGTAACCCATCATAGCTAATTTTTAGCATTTTTTCCACCTTTTCATCAAGACTAGTTGTAAGTCTTCGTAGTTCAAGTTTCCACCGATCCTTGTTCTTTCCGCGCATATGAGAACCTAAGACCCGGAGACCCAAAGGAAGATGTCCAGAGATCTCTGCTACTTCAGCCACCACATCCATGAAACCATCTGGCGGTGCATTATGTTTGAAAGCATATAGGCATAACATCTCAACTGCTGTTTTTCTGCATGGTAATTTGACCTCGTATATATGGTTGATTCCATGCCCTACTAAAATCTGTTTATCTTCAGTGGTAATAATAATCCTACTTCCAGGACCAAACCAATGTATCTCGTTAGCCAAGGCTTCTAACTGCTCTACCTTATTCACATTATCAAGAACAATGAGGACTTTGTGTCTCTTTAGCCTTTCTTCTATTGTCCCTAAATGATTTATCCTCATATCTTTTTGGTTGAATATTTTGGACAAAAGCTCTGTTTGTAAACGTACTTGTAAATTGTATTCGCCATTATCTATAGTTCTTTGATAGTTTCCCCCAATGTTCTCCATAAGAACCGCAAAGTGGAAGTTACTCGAAAAGCGTCTGTGTAAGACCCTGGCAATGGTGGTCTTACCTATACCTGGAGGACCCCAAATCCCTACCATCCTAACTTCAGTATCTTCCAAACATAAAAGTGGAAACATCTTTCTCATATGAGATTCAATTCCAATTACGTTTTCAAAATCCCTTGATGGCGTACCATTGAGTTTGGCCAATATATCTTTTGCAATTTTTGTTATAAAATCTGCTTCACTTTTCCTGCAAAGTTAAATTTCAGTTTGTGTTACTATTTTAAGCATTAGAAACTATACCGCCTTTTTTATGCTATGCATATAAGGGTGCACTAAAAAGACAAAACACTAACCAGTTGTAAGAAACCTCTCCAGCAATATTTGCCGCTTTGGTCAAAGCTTCCTTCCATTTCTTTTGTTTCTCATTATCCTTCCTTTGACAGGTTTCTTGGTAGCCACTCCCGAATTGCCCGGTCTGATCTCTAACATCGGATGGATTCACTTTGTAGAAAATGGGTATGAGTTCTAGCCTCTTCTCTTCGGTGCACTTTAAAATCTCGACCAATTCATCCAGACACCAGCTTGAAGAAGCATAGTTCTCCGAAAATAACACCACAAAGATTTTAGATGTTCTTATAGCTTCTACGATCTCCAGACCGATCGTATGGCTTCTTTCGATTATATCATCTTTGAATGTAATTATTCCCTTGTTTTCAAACTCTTTGATCAAGTGGCTGAGGAAGTTTCCGCGGACATCTTCTCCCCGGAAGCTAGGGAAAACGTCATATCTCCAACAGCTAGAGCCAGACGAAGAACAATAAGGAGCCATGGAAATAAAAGCTGTGTGTTTTATGTTTGTTGTGTAATTTTATGAGACAATATCTGGAGCTTATGAAATGATCAATGGTGTTTAATATGCTGGGGATAGGTGATTTATCAGTCATGTCAGCGACTAAAAAAAAGTACCATAAAGTCAATACATATAAAATATTCTAGGTGTAAAATAGGATTGAGTCACATGTTTTACCATTCTTTCATCTTGTCCAAAAGACATGACAAATCTTGCAAGCGGGTTTCTAATACTTAATGGAACTAACTGAGAACATACGTTAAGTTCTTATAATATTGTCAGACTAACGTTATCATTTAAAGCGGCTTGATATT